AGCCCGCGCCGGGCCGCTCCGGCCCCATTCCCATGCGGGCGGCGCGGGCCCTGGGAGGGGCGCCCGCAGCCAGCCGCGCAGCATGCACTGGGGGGTTGGCTTTGCCTCGTCCAGGCCGTGCGTGGTGGATCTGAGCTGGAACCAGAGCGTCTCCTTCTTCGGCTGGTGGGCCGTGTCCGAGGAGCCCTTCTCCTTTTATGGGGACATCATCGCTTTCCCTTTGCAGGATTACGGTGGGATCATGGCAGGGCTGGGCTCCGATCCCTGGTGGAAGAAAACACTTTACTTGACCGGGGGAGCTTTGCTGGCCGCAGCTGCGTATCTGCTCCACGAACTCCTGGTCATTAGGTGAGCCGGAGAGAGGGCCCCGCGCAGGGGCGCCGAGAGGGGCACCTGGCCAGGGCAGGGCTGGCGCGAGGGGGGACCGTGCCAGCCTCTCGGTCACGCCGTGCAAATGCCCAAGAATCCTGGCCTTACCTTTCCTTAGAGGCAGTCCGTGGTCACCTGGCCTGAGGGGCAGTTTCGAGTTGACAGGAGAATTAAACTGGTAGTGGGAGGGGAAAACATTTGTGTCCCAGTCCTTTGGTGCTAAAAAGCAAAAATTCTCCGGGTTGTTGTGGAGCAAGAGTCTATTAGGGAATGCCCTTAGTAAGATCCTAAGTGCAATGTTTGCAACAATAGAATGAGGCCTGAAAAAAAAAAAAAAGAAGAAGAATGAGGCCTGGTAGAGATACTAAGTTACACTTCCATGAAATGCCTTATTTGTTTGTAGGTAATAATGCCGGAATATTAACCACTAACCTTATCTTTTACATAAAGGTTAGTTCTTCACTATCCCTCCCCAAATTTCAACATCATCAAAAAGCTGAAATTGCAAAAGCTCCAGAGACCTCTGGGTCCCTGTTAAAGAGGCATGGTCAAGTAGAGTGCTGTGCAGTTTTGATGCAGCCTTAACCTGGTTATCGGCTGCTCAGGTATTTTCAAGCTAAGCACCATCGTGGGGTTTCAGTGCCATTGTTGTGCGAGCAGTGGGAGATCCGAGGACGGGACTAGCACATGGGCGTGTTTGACAAGAACACGGGAGTCACCCAGTGCCGTAAACAGTTGCATAGGCTGCCTGCCGCAGAATGTTTACAGGACTGACTTGGAAATGCCAGAAAATGGAGGCCCCTACTGTTGGTACATCCAGAAAGACATGAGATCTTTGTTTGAGTAGGGTAATACCATAGGCTCCTAGGATGGGCCTTTGGCTCACTGATAACATCAATTTATGATTAAAATTTCCATGCGTTGGAGCCATATGACCCTGGGAGATGACCAGAAGTGGGCAGTTTTCAATAGCTCAGAATATCCCTGTTGGCCAGTATTTTTTAAGTAGTGACAAATGTGTTCCACACTGCCTTTTTCCAGGGGGGGATCCTACACAATAGCTTATAAACAAAGACAGTGATCCTTGACCTTTAACAGGCCTGCAGGGATTCCAGGACATTGTGACAGGCTAACTTAGGTATTTTGAATATTTCTAGTCTCTTGAGAGGGTGGGAAATCGTTTAGGTCTGAGGAAATGTATTGGCTTTCACTATTATTTAGCCATAATTGAGAAGTTTTATTTTAAGCTTATTATGTACCCTGAATTCTCTCACTTAGAAGGTGGCTTGAATCATCTAGTCGAAACACAAAGATTTTTAAAGTGAATTTCTCTAGATCATTTCATATTTTTGCTAGTTTTAGAACTTGATTTCAAGTTAGATTTCAAGCTGTATGAAAAAACCAAAACATTTGTACAGTACTTTAAATGGTAACCCAGTTGTTTCTCAATTATATTCCAGTCCAGAACCTTTTCAGGATCCAGAACCATGTGGCTTCTCGCCAGTTTAACACTTTGTGGAGGGAGTGAAGGCACGGCTTCATAGGACCAGGTCTAAACCTTGCTTAAATGACCTTGCAGAAATAGCAAGGAGCCCAGAGCTCATCCAGGGAACAGGCCACACCCTGGCAGGTGTGGTCTCTGGACACAGAAGAGCCCTCTGCCCACAGATGTGTCCTTCCCCACTTAGCATACTACTTGGATACTTCTTTAGATTGGGACGTTTTTAATCCTTAGTTTATTCACTTTTGTTTCTTGATGGATGTCTAAAGCCTGGGTAGGAAATATGTTATAATGGAGTAGAAAACCCTGTTATAAGGCAAATAATAAAAATGGCTGCCCACTTTTGATCCCTTAGTAGGGACTCTGTATAGAAGTGCTTTACTTGCATTTATCCCTCTCAACTGTGGTTGGATGCTTGATTCCCATTTCTTAGAGAAGGCATTTATAACTGAGGGAGGGAGGTTAAACCACTTGCCCAAAATCACACAGCAAGAGTAGTAGGATCCAGACCTGGGAATGTGTGTGTGCGGAGTCTGCATTTTTTCCCGTTGCCTCCTAGAAAGTACCAATGACAACATAAGCCTGGCTGGAGGGAGACGAAGAGAAACGTAAAGAATTGGGGCATGGCCCAGGGAAGACAGGCCTGTGGCAGGGACCTGAGTTTTTGACAGCCTCTAGGGACACAGAAAGACAGGGAGAAAGACTGAACAAGTTCTGGGACTGTAAGTCAGAGGTGACATGACAGAGACTTCCATTTAGGGCGAAATCTCAGTGTCAGGTGTCTCTGTAGTTTAGGCAAAACAGAACAATCCAGAATCTGCAGGATGGAAAACACACCTTGAAATGATTACAGTGTCTGAGGTCACGGACAATGGTAAAGTTGTTACCACTCGACTTGGATTTTCTGCGGGAGAGACTTAACCTGAGTGTGTGGCCATGTGTCTAGCGTGTAAAGGAAAGTTGACTGGTGAGAATTACTTAGGAAGTTTCATTAAGGAGTATAACCAAAGGAGGTATTTTGAATTTTATGCCTGCTTTTCCCATGGCAGTATTTTTAACCAAATATTGTCTCAACCCTCTACTTTACTTCCCCTGAGTGGTGACAGCCTAGCAGCTATCTTAAATTCAATCCATTTGAGAATGTGTGGTTTGTAAATTGAATGACTAAATAATGATTGTGTTGTTGGTAGATCTTTTGCACTTTGGGCCCTTGGGCTCAACCTGTCCTAGAGAATTTAGGGACTCAGAGCAGCCCCCAGGTCAACCAACATCTGACCTCCATAAACCAACAGCTGGTCAGCCGTACACAGAGGCATGGTCATCCATGATATCCGTCATGATGGCAGTAGGGGCTAGTCTTGCTGTTCCGTACGTGTTCTCTTATATAACCCTCATTATAAAGCCACTTTGGAAAGTACAGCTGTCCAGGTATTTTAAAAAATACCTGCTCCTCTGATTCTTCTACGTTAGAGAGTAGTTTCTGATGTGTGGAAGGAGGGCTCTGGAGCCAGAGTAGGTCCACATTCACTTTGCTTATTTTAACCATGTAACCTTGGAGATGAGAAGAAGCTTCTTGGCTACTTGGTTTTCTCATCTGTAAAATGGGGGTAATCATAGTAGCCTGCCTTATGGAGTTGGTTGAGTTAGCACGTGTGAATTGTTTCGACATGGAAGTGAGCATGCAATAAAAGTTGGCCATCATTGGCTATCAAAACTTCCTTCCGTAAGTTCCAGGCTTGAGTGGTCTGAGTCAAACTGGCTGTTTTGATAGAATTACTTGAGACATTGCCCATTTCAGTGGTGTTGAAGGGGCTTAAGGGCTTGGGATCTGGAGCTAATAATGACCTGATCTTACAGTGATACTCCTTGGACAAGTTATTTAACCTCTCTGAGCTTCAGTTTCCTTATCTACTGTATAGTATAATACACTGAATTCAAACTATAACAATATCCATGCTATGGTGTTACTTCAGAATGAAATAATATGCATAATGTATACAAAGTCATTGGCATATGCTTGTCACATCCATTCTTAATATGATATGGCCCAAGTTAACCATTAGAATTAGGTATTTCTGGCCAGCAGAGCAGAAGATTTTACATTTATCTCCTCTCTTTCCAGCTCTTAAATTTTTGTCTGGCTACTTTACATGAAAATACCACTCTGTGACTTGAATTATTGGACTGGACAAAATCAGTTAATTGTCAAATCTAGTTTGTGCTCTCTGGGAACAGTCTAAGACGCTTCTTAATTTTAATATCTGACCTCCCCAACATTTCATCTGAATGAAAGTCTTTGTTTTATATAGCAAATATTGCCGGAAAACAGCAAATATTTGTGTTCTTTTGACTTGAGCAGTGTTTTCCAAGTGAGTCATTCTGAACTCTTTAAGTGGAATGGGCGTTCTGGTGGTAAACTTCTCCGAAAGAGTTGGTTTTACTGAACGCAGATACCTCAGGAGGTGAGCTCCATAGGCTGATGATACAAAGAGCTTGCCCTTGCTTGGGTGGAAGTAGGTTAAACTGGGAGTGATGTGAGGGAACCAGAGGCTCAGGGAAGGCCTAGGGGAAGAGTGAGGTCTATCTGACTGGGAAGTGGTTGGGTCGAGCTAAAGACGGGGAATTGCAAATGGTTCCTGAGGGTGGTGTAGGAGCGAAGCTGTGGGGGATGATGAGATAGTGTAGTTTAAGGGGATAAGACCGTATCTCTGAATGAGAATAGATTTCTACCATTCTTACACGCTGCTGGATAGCTCCACAAATATTTACTGATTTTTAAAATTTAATCCTCATGCTAATTGATGCAGAATTGGTACTGCCTTCACTTTCTGTGGGTGAGAGGAAGAGAGGCCTAGGATAACGTGGCCAGTAGGAAGCAGGGCTTGGATGTGACCCCAGGTATCCACACTTGGAATCTAGCATTTTCTCTATTATACGGTGTCCACTGAAAAGCTGCACCAGGGAAATCCTCCCACCCAAAAAAGTAGCCAAGGGAAAGCTAGACGTGTGGCTGAGAGAGAAGAAAGAGGAGAGGCAGGGTATTAAATTATATGCTGTGTGTCTAGAGTGGGGACCCTGGGAAGCTAGAGAAGATGAAAGAGAGCCCAGAAGCCAGCTTCCTTGGCATCACACAGATGAAAGGCCAGGTGAGGGCACACATGGTTTGGAAGGGGGACCAGAATATTCAGGGTCTCAGATTCCCTGCAGTCTTGGTTCCTAGCAGAGTAAAACTGTGCTGTTATTCCTGGGTTCTAGGGACAGTTTCATGGTACAGTCCAGGGGTCAAGAACGTAGACTCTGCTTTCCTGGTTCGGTCCAGGGTATGCCATTTACTAGCAAGGTGACCTTGGACAAGGCAATCCTCTCTGCCTCAGTTTCCTCATCTATCACCCATGATAAGAGTAGTAGCTCCCTCATAAAGTTATTGTGAAGATTAAGTGAAATAATACCTGTGATGCCCTTAGAACAATGCCCGACACCCAGGAAGCACACACTGTCATTTTTATCCCTTCAGCTTGTGCCTGACCACTAAGCATAGCCCGCTGGAGAAGGGTGGGCCTGTATTACAAAGTACTCTTCCTGCCCCCATGGGCTATAGTTAGCCGAGGGAGGTTGATACATAGCTACTCTCTAAGCCCTTGGGGTCACCGTGATCGTTTGTAAGGTTGTCTCGTGTTTTGGCTAAGCCTCCACTCTGCTCCTGGGTGAGGTGAGCCCCCGTGACAAACAGATCTGCTTGTTCATGGAGGAGCTACAACCCACCAGGGACCTCCGGGGAACTCAGGGAATTGAATGTGTAACACGTGGATTGTTCTTTATTTCTGTTTTGGTTTTGGCAGGAAACAGCAAGAGATTGACTCCAAAGATGCTATTATTTTGCATCAGTTTGCAAGACCTAACAATGGTGTCCCCAGTTTGTCTCCTTTCTGTTTGAAAATGGAAACTTACTTAAGGATGGCTGACTTACCCTACCAGGTACTTGTGTACAAACGTGTCTTATTCTCACGACAGTAACATCAGAGGGGGAGTTCCTCATCTCACAGGGTGGGAAGGGCTTGCTCTTGGTGGCCGAGGGGTGGGTATGAAATTAGCAGTGCCTGGTCCTTAGCAGCTACTTAGGAGAGCCTGGATTCTAGGGTCTGTTGGTTTTTACATCCAGTTTAATGGGGGATCCAAAGGGTATGGACTTTTGTAAGTTTCAGGGTCATGGTATTTTTTTCCTGACATAGATTAGGCCTTGGTTAAGCTTGGATAGGCCTCCTGGGCAGCTATTAATAAAGGTGGGGTACCATTGCTCCGTGTGGTTTTTCCTTGAGATTTCTGTTTGAGAGCATTATATTTTGTCTCTCATGAATCCTAGGGGGCAGAGCACCTGGCAGGCCACCAGGGAGCTAGTTGTAGATTTTGTGAGAGCTTTCCCACAGTGCTCCATGTTCTGTTTGGGTGGCTTTCAGGGAAACATTCGCTCATTTCGGCATTCAAGAATGAACAGAGGCATGTATTTAACAGTATCCATTCTTCTGTGAGCTGTGTCTCACAAACTTGGCAGGTTGTGTTTTCATTGTTACTCAGTTCTATGTATTTTTTAAAAAAAATTTTCCCTTCTCTTTCTTTTTCGCCTGATATCTAGCTATATATACAAGTTTGTAAAGCTTTGATTTTTGTTATTGTTTTTTAATTTTGTGATCAGAGCAGACAGTCTCTGTGATATTGAGTCCTTGAAATTTACTGAGGCTTTAGCCTAGAGTGTGGCTAGTTTTTATGAATGTTGAAAATCATTCCATATTCTCCGTTTGGGTGAAGAGCTCTCTAGATTTACTTGCTTGAGCGTTTGTTTAGTGGATTATTTAGCTCTTGTATATTTCTGCTTATTTTTTGTTTGCCTGTTCTAGCAGTTTCTGAAAGGAGTAGATTTAAATATCCACGGGTATTTGTTGATTTATCTTTTCTTCCTGCCATCCTCTCAGTTCTTGCTTTGTTTTTTTTTTTTTAAAGATTGTATTTATTTGACAGAGAGACACAGCGAGAGAGGGAACACAAGCAGGGGGAGTGGGAGAGGGAGAAGCAGGCTTCCCGCTGAGCAGGGAGCCTGATGCAGGGCTCGATCCCAGGACCCCAGGATCATGACCTGAGCCAAAGGCAGACGCTTAATGACTGAGCCACTCAGGCACCCTCAGTTCTTGCTTTATGTAAGAGATCATAATGGTTAGGTAGATATAATGTGAAAGGTCATATTTATACTCTTTTGTTTCTTCTCCCAGTATATATAGCACATGGCTGTGTCCCCTGCTTTTTTTTACTTCTTGAATTTTATATTGTCAGATATTGAGATTGATTCTCCAGCTCTCTTTTGGTTCATATTTGCTTGGGATACCCTTCTCCATCCTCTTTCTCTTTTCTTTGTGTGTATCTGTCTCTCACAGGCAATGTATTACTTGTAGCCAATCTAAGAGTCCTTAATTGCTGTGTTTTTTCATTTACACTTATAATTATTGTTTAACTAAGTTATCTCTAACATCTTTATTTATTTATTTATTTATTTATTTATTCCTAACATCTTATTTAATATTTTTTCTCTTATTATATTGGTTTTTAAATTTTTTTCTCGTTTCCTGCTTTCTAATGGATAGATAAAAAGAAACTTTCTTATCATTTAAAACAAATTCTATTTTTGTTGTTATGGCGGTTGCTCTTAAGATCCAAATTGGAGTTTATTTATCCCTATTATCATTTCTCAAATGCCGTCTTAGTCCTCTGATAATACAAGGATCTTACAGGTTCATGTGAACTTGGGTCTTTCTTTTCCCAGCCCTGATCCCAAGTGTGTTGTTGTTGTCTAATGTTTTTAATTCTGGAATTTTGGAAATCCTTTCCTTTTTTTTCCTGGTTCTTTTTTAGGCAACAAAGCTTACTAAGTTTTTGACCAGCCTTATTTCCCACGTATCTTCTCCTCCTTGATTATTTATCCTTATATTTGAGCACTTTCTTGATGCATACTTTCAGATTGAGCCTTTATGCAGCAAACCGCCATGGCTTTGCATGCCTGAGGACGTCTTTATTTTGCCCTCACGTTTGAGATGTCTGCGTTCAAAGTTCTTTGCCTTCAGAGCTTTTTTCTTTTTTAAGATTTTATTTATTTATTTGACAGAGGGAGAGAGACAGTGAGAGAGGGAACACAAGCCCGGGCAGGGGGAGAGGGAGAAGCAGGCTTCCCGCCGAGCAGGGAGCCCGATGCGGGGCTCGATCCCAGGACCCTGGGATCATGACCTGAGCCGAAGGCAGACGCTTAACCATCTGAGCCACCCAGGCGCCTCCCTTCAGGGCTTTAAGAATATCACTGCCTTGTCTTTCTGCGTCGGTATTGCAGACGCAGAAAAATCTGATGTTAGCCAGATCTTTTGCTCTCTCTTTCTTTCTGGAAGCTTTTAGAATTTGCATTTAATCTCAATATACTTAAATTTCACTGTGATGTGCCTTGGTGTGGGTCTTTATGTATCTTGTTTGGTCCTTTCTAAACTCTTGTAGTATGAAATCTTGAATCTTTTTTTTAATTCTGGGGAATTATTAATTTTCTCCAAATACTTCCTTTTCTTTTTTATTTGTTTTAGCCTTCTTCCTTCTTTTTTTTTTTTTTTTAAGATTTCATTTATTTATTTGAGACAGAGAGAATGAGAGACAGAGAGCATGAGAGGGAGGAGGGTCAGAGGGAGAAGCAGACTCCCCGCCGAGCAGGGAGCCCGATGCGGGACTCGATCCCGGGACTCCAGGATCATGACCTGAGCCGAAGGCAGTCGCTTAACCAACTGAGCCACCCAGGCGCCCAGCCTTCTTCCTTCTTGTCCCCTATTATCCGGATGCTGAAATCTCTGCTTTTATTTTCTCTATATCTGAATATATTCCTTCATTCTTTTCTTCCTCCTTCTAGCTGAATCCGTCTTCCTGACATTCCGTCGCATCTCTCTGTCCTCTTCTTGTGCCCATCGAGCTGCTTGTCTATTGTGTTCAACTTCTGTATTTTTCTTCTTAATAGTTCTCCGTGATTTGTATTACAATTTCTTCTTTTACACCTTAGAGGATCTCTGTTATGCTAATTAAAATTGGTCTGTCCCCATAATCCTGCTTCATGGTGTAAACATTCCGTCTGATGAGGTTGTACACGTCTCGTATCGACTTTGGTTTGAGATTTCCTTTTGCCAGAGATGTCCACTTCCCTACCTGGGGGTTTGTACGGGGCAAGGGCCAGAGCTTACGCTACAGGTTGGTGCCTCTGAGGGCATGTAAGAAAAGTAAGAGGTGAGCCCAGGCACCCCCAAACCACTATGGTCCCTCTGGTTTGCTGCCCCTCTCCAAGTGGCTCCGACTGGTCAGGGCTTCACCTGTAAGCTCTGACAAAGTGGCAGCAACGGGAGGAGGGGTCTCCCTTGCTTGTAACAGAGCAGCTGGGCCAAGCTCTTGGCTGCCTGGATAATGTTAACCCTGCAGCTCCCGGTGCCCCCCGGCCTGTGGTTTCTGAGCCAGTTTCTCTGCAGAAGAGGGGATGGGGCGGCAGTGACCCTCCTAAGGCAGTGCTGGGATGAGATGAGTGGCAGCCTCTTGGCTCGGTGAGTGCTATTATGGAGGCGCCACTGGGGAAAACGATGGAGTGGTACCTAATGGACTGTGGGTGCAGGGCTCTGGGAGGGCACGGCGTGTTTGGGGACCAGAAGGGGGTTGTTTGGGACTGGGAACTGGAATGCAAGGGCTGAGTCTGGAGAGAGGAACACAGCTATTATTTAGAACTTTCTAAGCCAGGAATAGAGGAGAAAACAGCACTGAAGACAGACAAAGCTTGAAGCATCTAGATGCAGTGGGTCAGATCGGAAAGGTCATTGTTGAGCTTGGTGTTGGCAGCCAGCGCTGGAAGATACGTGTCACCGAGGGGCTCCAGCAGCTGCCTGTCTCTGTGTCGTCATCACTCTTGACCCAGTCCTGACGGTTAGCTTGACAGCTTTGGGGCAGTTAGGGCGCCGGGACTGAATTTTGTGCTCTGTAGTCTCTGAGGGCTTTCTAGATCTCTTGGGCCCCCTCCCCTTGATGAAGCGATCACGCTGGTTGCAGGGGCCAGCCCAGCTGCCACGCTGTGCTGCCCTGTCCCCTCTTGCCTGCAAGCCTGCCAGTCTTGCCAATCCTGCCTTTACCAGCAGCCCAGTCGCAGAGCAGCTGATTTTAGTGCGTGTGACTGGAGCTGCGGGACACACGTCTCACCAGGAGCCTGAAGCTGGTGCAGAGGCCTTGGGGGAGGTGACCACTTACCCCCTTGCAGAATTATTATTTCTTGTTTGGTACATATAATATATCTCTCTATAATGTATGTATTTTAAAAGAAAGGTGTAGGCGTGATTTTTCTTCTGTGAGGTCTCTGTGGAAAATAAATGGAGGGGGTGTTCAGCTCAGGGCAGAGATTTGTAAGAGAAAAATGGTTCTGTGGTTTAGAAGGCTGCTCTGTGCCTGCCACGGGTGCCTTGGGACCTGTGTGCCCTCAGTGAGGGTTTGGGTTGATGCAGGTGGCACCTGGGAAGTGCTGGGTAGGGGTGGGGGATGCATCCCCTGTGCTCAGCAGTACTGAGGCATTTTGTCGGAGATCCAGAGAGCTCTACGCTCTGCCCCTTCTTTGCCCTGTGCCTTGAAAAAGAAAATTTTAGGGCACCTGGGTGGCTCAGATGGTTAAGCGTCTGCCTTCAGCTCAGGTCATGATCCCGGGGTCCTGGGATCGAGTCCCGCATTGGGCTCCCTGCTCAGCGGGGAGCCTGCTTCTCCCTCTGCTTCTCTATCTCTGTCTGTTATGAATAAATAAATAAAATCTTTAAAAAAAAAAAAGACAAGAAAAAGAAAATTTTAAAATGCCATATTCCTAAGAGCACGACTTTATATTTGAAGTTTTTTTTTTTTTTTTTTTTTTTTTACGTTTTAACCAAAGAGAGACTGGAATAAATATT